TTTGTATCCTCGGGGTTGTATTCTTCACATTTTCGAATACTTCTAGTGCGAAAATCTCTTTGAAACTTTCAGTATTTCCCAAAAAATCATTTTGACAGACTGCTATGCACAGCGTACGGATCGTATTAACGAATACATTTTCTCTTTGGAAAGTGGTGGCACAGAATTCCCCACGTCGTATGGATACGGTAGTTAAACACGACGTACAGATAGGGTTAAGTGGTGCCACAGAGTTCCCCACGTTATATCGATATGATAGTAAAACACGACGTACAGATAGGGTTAAATAACCAAATTCTGCAGTGCTGATAGGACATTATACCCATACACTTACTTTTATTTTATCTACCGAAGGGGCAACAGAAAGCCAAATAGTAGAGACAGGTTGGTTCAATGATATTAAGAGCAGAAAAATAGGTAGACCGATCGATAGATATCATACACACGTATTATTTGTAAACAGAGAGAACTATGCGCAACATAACCCCATTACGCTTCTATTGTACCTGTGTACACGCCCACATGAGTCAGCAGCACCTCACACATCTGTCTGCACCTGCATTTAAAGACCCCCATCGTCTACTGGAAAGGAAAACTTAAAACTAGAGTAAACACGTACTGCGCTCCCTAGTGTTGGTGATTCAAGATTCAGGTCAGGTGGTAGGAACATCTTGACTACAGCTGTAATGAAGTCGGAGATTACAAGCGCGGGCTGTAAAAGGGTCCTCGACACTTCTTCAAGCCTTCTTCACCAAAGCTTTCCCAGCTGAAAAGAGTCCTATTTACCACGTGAAGACGTGACCTTGTGCAAACTGAACACCCTGTACAAGATATCGAGATAACGCATTTTGATAGAAACTGGAAGCTGGGAGGGGAAACAGAGGAGTTTACTTGTCGTGCCACGTTTATTCATCAGTATAGGCCAGTAATCACTTTCCACCTCTTCCCGAGCAGGCTATTCGTAAATAAAGTTTAGAAACAGCAATTCCCTCTTTCAAAGTCGTCTTTTTTTAACCTGACAAGGACAGCGTCTTGGAGTATGAACAGCGACGTGTGAATAGAATCATTTTGACAATACCTCAAAGGTAAAGACAGAAATGAATTCAATATTAAACGCTAGGCTTGCCCTCTGGACACAATGCTTAAAAAAAATTCTTTTGAATTACTGATCATTGCATTTGTTCATATTGACGAATTGGGTAATTTGGCGGTACAGGTAAAAAAAACCAAAAAATGTTTTTTTCTCCAGTATTCTGTCCTTTCGGAGATGTATGTTAAACTCTGGGCCCGCCTCCTAAATAACCTAATATTGTTGACAGGGGCGTTAAACATTAATAATATATATACCTTTTCATTTTCTCGCCAATATCGGCGAATATACGCTTCGAGCTCGTCGGGCTGATAATGACAGCGCTGTTATTGCCTTGATGGGATAACGGTTGTCGTGGCGTTATCTGCCGCTGTGCTCTGGTGATAGCACAATGTGCATGTACTATATCAGGATAACAGGGTAGGGTTGGCAGTTGGCGTGATTGTTTGTTTGTTCTAACATGCGCTAGCGGATCGGGTAACTCGGTCATAATGCTTACATTTTTACCCAATATTTTTATCCTATTACGATTTTGCGTTTATTCTGTTGTTGTTGTTGTTGTTGTTGTTATTATTGTAGAGCAGTTGTAGTTGGTCTGTTTCTTTGCATTATGTGCGTGCGTATATGTA